ATCGAGTGGCTGCCTCCCGCACGATCCAACCAGGGCCGGGGACAAACTGCAACCGAGGTACATGCCCTTAGCGGGAGCCGAACCTGGGTCTCTCTGGACCGCAGGCCGACACTCTAAGCGCTGAGCCAAACTGGCCAGGGCGAAGCTATTGCATTATTGACACATTTTCTGAAACTGAGGCTGATGTGTGATCCCTGTACCATTGTGTAGATGGCCCAGTCTCTCAGGCCCCTTGTGTCTGTGCATGTTGCCATTCTTCTGGGATGTTAAATGATTTACGAGATAGCATGACATAATGAGAAGTGACAGGTCCGGTATCAAACCCCCAGCTAACCATAGTTTTACTGATAATGAGGACCTTGGTCAAGTCCTTTTATCCCTCTGAGCTTCACTTTCCTAATTAGTAACATTGATGGGAGAGAGGCGGGCATACAGATGAAGCTGCAGGTCAGAGGGTGACTCATGTGAGAAGTGTCTTTGTCCTGACCCCCAACCCGGTGCCTGTCGTCCAGCCCATTGCCTTGTGGATACAAGCCTGCTGACTGTCCCTCTCAACTTGCTTTGATTTTAATTTACACACACAAAAGGAACATTTTGCTCTCTTCAAACAGAAGTCCCCATCTAGTTAGCCAAATGTGGCCGGCAAAGGTCTTGTCATTGAGCCCCAGGGGGTTTCAGAAAAATTCTGAGTCACTAGTGAAAACTGAGGACGGGGCACATAACAATCCAGGCTTTCAGCTGCTGTTGAAAATCTGAAAGTCTCTCCCTCTTGCCACTACCACCTGGGAAATGCCTGCTAGAGCTGAATAGTTTGACCCTCCTGAAAGTTCTCCACACTTTCCATCACCCCTGTAGATGACCCTGGCATCGAGCCTGAATATTGGTGGCCATGTCATCTCATGCTTCTCGTTACTTTTATAGAAGAGAGAAACACTTCTTCTTCCTTGAGCCTCCGTTAAAAGCAGGGTAACAAAGACAGCCCGAGAAGGCGGCTTGTCGGAAGGAACTGGGAATGAGTACATTTCCTTCTGAAAGTGTTTCTGCAATACCTGGGTATCTCCAGTGATTACCTTACCATCCTGCCTCCTTCAGCCGCTGGGAACTTTGTCCCTGCTTTAGGAGATCATAACCGCCATTCTAGAAATAATACAGTTGAAAGATGCCAAAACCACTTAAGACTTGGTAATTTACTAGCCAGACTAACATACACAAGTCATTTAACCTGCCTGGACTTCAAGTCCTCTTAACTTCATAAAATGAGGATGCTGGACCAAGTAAGCACGAAGGTACCCCTTAGTTCAAAATGCTATGATTTTCAAGTGTTACTGCGTGTAAGGAAGCCACCATCTCTCACAGATGTGCACTCTATTAGAAGTAGCTGCCATGTTTGTCCTCCAACCTCGGGCAGATTTTGGTGAGAACATCCATCATTTTTCATGTTAAGTGTATGTTGTGGATATCAGAGGTTCAGAAGGAGAACTCTGCTAAGATTCAACGAGTGCCTTGAAAATGCGTTTATGTCATGCATGTGTACCTTCTAACTGAAGAAGTCATGACCCTGGCAAGTCCTCATCAACCATGAGCTGTTCTTCAAGTTCTTTGCTGCTCGTAATAGTTAAAGTACTAACGCAGATTCAAGTGTAGCACCAGAAGAAAGCCAATCTCATTCTCATAAACGCTGATACAATTTTTGAATGAAAATTAAATAAATGGAGTTATAGGTTCCTGTCTAGAATTCCTACAGGACTAAGCCATTACGGAGAACTTGAAAAATGTCAGTGTCTGGCTTCCACACTTAGAGGTTCTGACTTAAGTGGTCTGGAAAGAAGGACTTTCGAAACATCTCAAATGTTGCTAATGTAAAAACACTGGTCTAATAAAAACTTTGGTTTGTAAACTATGAGCAATGGCCAGGTTGCCAGACAACAGATTGAGAAGGTACCACAGTGCAGTCAACTTCATCGTTTTCTTAGCGTGTCTAGTTTTTCATTCAGAGTGTGACATGTTTGATTATATCATATAAATCTGCTTCAACGATGGACACTGGAGACGTTTGTCAGGAATAACATAACACTATTTTGTAAAAAGTAGATCTTTGGCAATTATTTTCTGGTAGGAGCTAGAGAGTTTCATGTTGGAGGAGTTTTATCCCAGGTTTATTCTTTATCATAGTTTTCATGTTGATACATGATATGTACAGTAGTATATTTTTTGGTTAGCTAAAGAAAATTGTGTTAAACTGAAATAATTCAAGAAGTAGAAAATTAAGCCACATAATAGTCTTTGACTTTGTAAAAAGTAAATGTTCACCACCCTTCAAAGAAAAGGTACTGTAACTTTTAGAATCTTTACATATGAACCACATCCAAAGAGCTCCTTCTCCATTGTTCCATATGTCCCCAGAGATCCTTTCTACATATGGTAGAAATGAGAGTTACCAAGAAGGAAGCGACTCCAGGTTATATTTTACAGATCAGAAAATTGAGATGCTTAATCACAAGTGATCTGTCCCTGTTAGTAGATGGCAGAACCAGAAGTGGTGTTCATGTCCAGTGTCAGCCTGGGGTTCCTTCTCCTGTACACCAGATCCCACAGGTCCCCTCACCTTTTCTGGGAAACATCCATTCTGCCATGTTTACTTGTTCTAGTAAACAATACATATTGACAGGTCTTGAGAATAATGATTCTTGAATGCTATGGTTATCTTTGAATGTGATGTGTGTAACCTAGTTTAGAATGTAATAAATAAGTGCAGTTTGCTTGGATTTCTGTGTAATTACTGTCCGAAGTAATACTTGCAGACCACGTGCCAGTGCATGCCAGAAGTAAATATGTTGATCGCATCTTTGGTTGATTATTATGATCTACTGCTGTTATACTAATACTTTTCCCATCTCCAACTGGCTTTGCTTTTGCAGCTTTGAGCAGTAATTCAGTCCCCTACGCCTCCCTGATTGGCTCTGTGTCCTCCCTCTCTAGCCAAACCACCACTCAGTCCATATATGATAATAACTCCCTCCCACGATTCGCTCGAAAAGGTCTAAACATCTTTGTCTCTATTATTTTCTCTGTTAAAGCACTGTAATGGATGCCCACATGATTCCATTTCCATTTCCAGATAAGCCTAAAGTCTCGTGTGCCTTTGCATTTCCATTCTTGTCATCGGGGGTGCCTCATCTGGATAAGATCACTTTAATTACCAGACCACTGTCACCCACCCACTGCCTCCACAGAACGTCAATTAGTCAATTCGGTCATCTCTATGGATGGGTTCCAGAAATGGGCTCCAACACTCTGGCCCAAACCTACTCATTTTTACTGAGCCGTCTATAAAGACTTTAGCTGACTGGAAGCCAACCTTCATAGCCAATGTGCTAAAACACCAAAGTTCACAGCACTGTGCTAAGTGATGATCTAGAAGAATCAAAATACTTTGTCATTTAACTTAGCAGAACCATTGATAATTTGGCATTTTGAGATAAAGGAAGTTACTGGGTGATTTTCAATAATGGCCTAACTTCTAAAATGCCCATAAAGTAATCACATGTCATGTTGACTTAATGGTCACCATTCCATAGGCTAACACCCTCCAAAGAGTCCCAGGGACAGGTGAATGTCAACATGGCTTCCAGTTTGAGCCCCTCTCTCATTCTTTGTCTGCTTTGAGCCTTCCCTGGGGGCAGGCTAGTTCCAGTTGTTCTAGCCAGTTGGAATTTGTATATATCTGTAAGACCTGAGTCTGCAGCGCTGTCTCATGTGACTTCTAAGAAATTAACCTGAAAGAAATAGAATGCAAATCATTTGAAAATTAAGAAAACATTGGAAAAACACAGGACTCATCAAAATTAGCAGTGGATTGTTTTGAACCAAATCCGTGAAATCGATGCAGCTTCAGCTGGCAGACTGAACTGAGGCGTGCCTGCCTTTCCCCACCACTGCTTTCTTTCTTTTTCCACCCCTCCCCCTCCTTGTTCTTTCACCATTTGCTCACTTTCCTGGATTCATTTCCCATTGGTGGACAAAGATGTTTACACCTGGAGTAGATTGTAGGTTTACTGGGGGTTGACGAATGGGAGCTGGGTGAAGTACCACAAAGCCGTTAGCGTGGCCATTTATAAATGTTCAGGAGAAGGTTGCAACCCCAACCTCTACAATCTGCTACTCGTGGAAACATTTTTGGAACGTAGTTTGGTGTCTGGTTTTGTCATCAGTGGTTACCATCTATGAGCTGTGGTGCATGCCATTCTTTGCGTCCCTGTCTGCATGTGAATGTCAGTCACCCGCAGATTTGTGAACTCTTAAAGCGATCTTGATCGAGTCGCGATGTATAGTGAATCAAAAAAGTTGCTGCATTTTTATGAATCCCTTTAAAAGGCCCATCAGACTATACATTTCACTTTTTATTTTTATTTTCAAACAAGTTTGTTCTATTTTGTTTTATTTACACCATCATTTCCTTTGCAGGTTCAGATGATTCTGGTTACCCTGGTAACCTTCATTCGTCAAGTCCGTTTTCCTTGATTACGCATAAGTCACGTTATGTTTCCTATCAAGCTACTCTTTCCCTTTCAGGCCTTTCTCCGTGTCTGTTTTCTTAGTTCACTTTACACCATTTAATTCCACACAATTTCCATTTCACACAGTGCAGGAGAAGGAGTTTGAACTGACATGATAGTCATTACTCAAAGCAGAAGTTGACATCACCCTGACAGTCAGTTTTCTCCAGCTAACCGCATCGATTCAGAGCACAATAACGCTTTCTTTTACGCCAGGAGTGTTAGTGTGGGGACTATGCTGGGTGACTTTTCATTTGGCTACAAAATTCATTCTTCCAGAGCATGTCCTGCTTTGAGTAACCAAACTGCCTGCTTCCTCCCATAAAACATCCTTACTACTCACATATTTTCAGGCCATTTCTAACTATAGTGTTTTCTGTATTTAGGAATAGTTAGCATCAGTTTTATTTGTTTTCAAATGTTTTTCTTCTTTCATTTTAATAGGTATGGCTAGTCATCCTCCAATACCTATCTTGGAACTTGCGGATCATATTGAAAGGTTGAAAGCCAATGACAACTTGAAGTTTTCCCAGGAATATGAGGTAAGTCAGGGTATTGATAATTGACAGTCATTTCAAGAGTTGCTCCCCTTTTCTTTTGGACCATACTCTTGAAAATTCATTTTATCAGTGCTTTTCCTTTTAAATGTGACTCAGAAGCTGATCTATAAGTTTGTAACAAGTAGCCAACTCTGTACAATCAATAGAATAGTTGTACTTTGGTTAATATTTTACATTTGTTCATTGTTACTTAATGAGACTGATTTATCTTTTCTGGTTTTGCATTCATAGAATGCACTGAATTAATAAGCTTCCCGGTGTACCAAATGGGTACTGAAAACTCTAAAATGATTGACTACCTATACATGATTTTAGTATTACCTAAAATAATACCAGAGCATCATGTTCATTATATTCCACAAATAAGTGAGATCATATACTTGTCTTTCTCTGTTTGGCTTATTTCGCCTGAGTAATGGGGTAGTACCAGAGACGTGGAAGTGGGGTACAGACTGACAATCCCCAGAAGAGGGGCTGATGGAGAGATAAACCACAGAACTTATATGCATGTATGCATGAACAGTGAACATGGACAACAAAGCTGGGGGGAGTGGAAGGGGGGAATCAGTGGGGTGAGAAGGAGAAACATCTGTAACAAAAATAAACAAATTTAAAAAAATAAAATATACTAGAGCTAATATTAAGATAGGCATATGCTTTCAAAAAGTGACCTGTTTTCAAGCAATGGGGAACTGGATGATATTTTAAACTTTTCAGATTTGTGAACGTGCTGTATGAATTCTTGATGAAAGAGCATGAAGAATATGTGTGTGTGTGTGTGTGGAGATCGTGGCATTTATCAAGCAGGAAGTTGTGAAGCTGTGTATTTCTGGTATTCCCTAGGAACAGGGACTTATATTAAAACCGATTAATGCATTTTTTGTGGTTGCTGTTAATCCCCACCCAAGGATATTTTTCCCTTTGAATTTTAGAGAGAGTAGATAGGAGGGAGGGAGGGAGAGAGACAGAGAGAAACATCAATGTGAGTGAGACACACCTATTGGTTGCCTCCCACACGACCCCGACCGGAGCCAGGGATTGAACCTGCAACCCAGGCACATGCCCTTGAGCAAGACGCGAACCCACAACACTTCGACACTTTGGTGTGAGGGCCGATGCTCTTTTCACTGAGCCACACTGGCCAGGGACGATGAATGAATTTTTGATAACTGAACCATTATTATTATTTTAGGCTATGTTTAATTTAGCCTAAGATTAAAATGCTCAACAAAAATCTCCCAGCAAAAAGTTGTTGAGTGCCTGAGCAGCCCAAATTCTACCAGAGGTTCTACTGATGACTTAGTGAGACTCTTAAGACACTTCTCTGTTGCCTCTCTTGGTTTCTTTTGTGTCGACCTTAAATGAGGCTGTTGGACCAGATGATCTAACAGTGGCTGCCAGCTCTAACAGTCTGCCCACTCACATGTGGTAAGAACCTCAGAGAGGAGCCCCAACCTGGTGTGGCAGGAGGGGTGGTATTAATTGTATGAAGAATCTCCATGTAAGAGAACGAGGAGTAGTGGGGCCAGTGGCAACCTGGACATTTGCATGAACTTCCTCAAGTCTTCAACTCTTTCTGTTTTGATTATTTTAAATTACTGTGCTGGTTTAGCAAAACCCATCTGTAACCCCTTACACCTCCGCACTCAAGGGCTGGACAGCCTTTTGTGCAGTTAGAATGCTCCAGCATCTTTGTCAAAGATCCCATAGAACACAAAGGGGATTTTGTGTGAATTTTTTTGTTTTGGAACGTTTGGAGATTTTTGTTTTGTTTGGGGCAGGGAGGGAGTATTGGTTTTGGCATGGTTTTTGCTTTTTGCTCATTGGTTAAATTCTATTTTCTTTTATTCTTTTCCAAGTATTCAGGAGGGCATTTTCAGTCTTATGAAACTCACCTTGGATTGTGAAATGTCTTATTTTATCAAATGGTCTGCTTCTTGTTTTTACCCTGTTCTTTCTTTTAGCCATAATAGCTCTTTTTAACTTAATGCAGTATTCTTCAAAACAGTTTCTGTGGTTTCTGATTTGGGGATTAAGCCTGCAAATTGAGTTTCAAGGGAAAAAATAAAAAAAGACATATGAGGAATGCCACCTGGGATAACATAAAAAACTCTTAATTAAGTGTTTGTTTTCACCGAAGATTTCACCAAAAATCTTTCACTTCTCCAACCTGCTTTTTATCATTATCAGGACTCTTCTTATTGCTTTGCTACGGGATATTTTCCTCATGGTCCCACTTTAATACTTTATTTATGACTATGAATGACATAATGGGTCACAAAAATTAAAATTTGATAGCTTAACCTGTTAATAAGCCATTTATTCACTCTCTACCAATATATCTTTAAACTCCTGACAATATTTGCATCGCTCAAGCAAACTGTTATATGCAATGACTGGCCTCCTTTAAATATGGAAATTCTCTGGAAACACTACATGCAAACACACTGTAATGATACTCATTTAGCCATTTTGGCCATTAAATCAGAAGTGCTCCTCGAAAGTAGTTACCGCATGCTGGCAATGCTCCCGTTAAAAACTCCCCCAGCGGGCTTTGCCATGGTAGCCCACACTGACTCGCTACCCTTTATCATGACCATGATCTGTGATTAAAGCTCCCTGGGCATGAATTGACTCTACTGTGCCTTCACAGCCATGAAGGAGATATTTAAGTATTGTATTCATCTGTGATAATAGGATAAAGGCCTCCATATAAAATTTTAGGTCACAGAGCAACACTTTGAAAAAGAATTTACATATTATTATCCAAATAATTATGAATATATTTCTTTACTGATTTTCAATGAAAAAAAAAAAGGAAGGAAAGACAAGTTTTATTGCTTTCTAACTTCTTCTTCTTCTTCTTCTTATTATTATTATTATTATTTTTTTAATCCTTACCTGAAGATATTTTTGTATTTATCATCAGATAGAGTGGCAGGGAGGGGGAGAGAGAGAGAGAAACATCAATGTGAGAGACACACATGGACTCGTTGCCTCCCAAACAACCCGACCAGGGCCCCAGGGATGAACCACAACTGAGGTACATGCCCTTGACCAGAATCAAACCAGCGACTCATTGGTCTGTGGGCCGACGCTCTAACCACTGAGCAAAACCGACCAGGACTAGCATCTCATTATTTTGTCATAATCACTGTGGATTACTATTTACTCTGACCTCTGAAAATGCATGAAGCTAAATTTGTTATCCTAAAACTAAAACAGAGGTTACAGGCATGAAAGCTGTGAGCACCCATCTGAGGTCAGAATGGAGGAAATAGGTTGAAATGGTCACACAGCATTACTAGGTCATGTGAGAGACTTCCTTTACTTCCCAGTCCAGAAGAGTGGGCTCAGCCTTTGGATTCAATGCTAGCAGGAAGAAGGGACTTGAGAAATTAATATAAATGCATCTTGAAAGTTCTTACAAATACTGTAGGTTTTCATTTTGTGATATGAGACTGCAAAGTCCTCCTAGAATTTAAGTAGCCCGATGTGGGGATGAGATCGAGGTAGGATGCAGGGAATCAAGTCCTCAAAGTTGGAATCTCTGTCAAAGTCAGTGCTTTAGGCTGCGAATTTTCAGACTGAATCAGAATAATGTGTGTATGTTTTGCCAAACAAAGTCTTTGCTAATGCCCATGGGACATCTGGAAGCCTAATTAAAACAGATTTCTATTCCCAACACCGGAAATGCTCCTTCAGTAGGTCAGCTGTGGTAGCCAGGAACATCCATTTTATTTTCTCTCAGTTTTATTGCAACATAATTGACATATAACATTGTATTAGTTTAGGGTATACAACATAATGATTGACCATTTGTATATATTGCGAAATTTTTACTACAATAAATTTAGTTAACATCTGTCCCTTCACATATTTACAGGTGTGTTTTTGCTTTTTTCTTGCGATGAGAACTTTGAAGATCTCTCTTAGCAATTTTCAAATATGCAATACAGTATTGTAAACTGTGTTCATCATTAGTGTACATTACATCCCCAGGACTTACTTTTCTTCTAACTGGAATTTTATACCTTTTGGTCACCTTTTCCCATGTTCCCTCACTGTTCACCCTCTGCTTCTGGCAACCAGCAGTCTGTTCTCTGTTTCTATGAGTTCCATTTTTTGTTTGTTTGCTTTTTACATTGCACATGCATGTGAGATTAAATAGTATTTGCCTTTCTCTGTCTGGCTTACTTCATTTAACATAATCCCCCAACATCCATGCATGTGTGTTTAAATGGTAGAATTATGACTGAATAATTTCATTATATATGTACCATACTTTCTGGATCCACTAATGTCATCCATCAGTAGACATTAAGTGGTTTCCATGACTTGGCTGTTACAAATAATGCTGTAGTAAACATGAGGGTACAATATCTCTTCAAGATAGTGATGTTGTTCCTTTTGGTTATGCACACAGAAGTGGAATTGCTAGATCATTTGGTAGCTCTACTTTTAATTTTTAGAGGAAACCCCATACTGTTTTCCATAGGGACAGCACCAATTTACATTCCCGCCAATAGTGCTCACGGGTTCCCTTTTCTCCACATCCTTGCCAATACTTATTTCTTGTCTTTTGGATGACAGCCATGCTAACAGGTGAGCTGTCTCATTGTGCTTTTGATTTGCATTTTCCTGATGATTACTGATGTTGAGCATCCTTTCACATACCTGTTGGTCATTCGTATGTCTTTTTGGAAAAACATCTGTTCAGTTCCTTTGCCCATTTTGTAACCAGTGTTTGGTTATTTGCTGTTGAGTTGTATGAGCTCCTTATGTATTTTAGTCAGTAACTCCTTATTAGATATACAGTTTGCAGCTAGTTTCTCCCCGGGACTGTCCACTTGGAGAGAGCACTCCGGGTGACTTTGATGCAGGTGCTCTGAAGTTTTCAGTTTGAGAAACATCATAGGTTTAGGATAATGTATGACAGGATATGACCCTCCAGTCTCCATTTCACCATTTTCTGAGATGGC